ATAATTATCAAAACTCTTGGTTAAAAAATAATTTTAAATATTTTACTTTTTTCGGAAATTTAAAATGCTTTAGTTGAATAAAGGTTGAATTATCATTAAACTATGGAATATATTTATAACATAATTTTAAATTATTATTAATATTTTATAATTAATTAAAATTTATCTTGATAGATTTGAACTAAAATATTTAAATTTTAAAAATCACTTATATAAAAAATAGCGACTAACCTGAATTTTTTCATGGAAAATTGTGGGTATATATAAAACGACAACATCTTTGGTAGAACTTAAAAAAAAAAACCGTTAAAACCCATTTCTTTTATTTAAAAGTGAAAAAATATCTTATTCTATTCATAGTAAATACATTATTAATACAAGTTACTACTTAAGAAGCACAAAAAATATAATAAATAATCATGATTGTAAAATGAAGAGCATGAACAACTTATAGATTTAGACATGTGAAGTTTTTTACCCCTTTTAATTTTCATTTAAAAAATGACGTGTCTTACTTTGTTTGGGCAAAAGAAGCGATAACCCAAGCAACTCGCCTAACCTTGTAGTTTAGGTTGAGTCACAAGAGGTTAAATTTTTGCTAATTTAGTTGGTTCACTAGTTTTCAATTTAAAATGGTTGGGGTCTGATTTTTTAAACCATATTCTTCTAATCCTATTTATAAGATAGAAAGAGAAGATTATTTTTTATTCTATTTATAAGTCACCTCATTAAATTTTTAGTATGAATGTACTATTTTGTCCTTTATTTATTATAGTGTATATGATTATTTGTTTGAAAGATGTATATATTAAATAGTTAAATAGGGGGAAGTTAGAAAATTATTATATTTTAAAAAAGAACTAATATAATTTATATTTATAGATGTATATATTTGTTAATGTATATAAAATATATTGAAAGTGCCATATAAATACGATCATAGGAGTACTTACCAAAGGCAAGTGTGATCATATTTATTAAGTGCCCCCACATTATAATGAATGACGCAAATTCCACTACTTTGTTATTCATGTCATTTATTTATCTACTTCCCAGAGTCAAAGACACAGTTTGGTATTAATTAATTATCATTAATATATACGAAATTAGAGTGGAATAAATTCTGGATTGCGAGTTATGGCTTCTAAATGTAGGAACAACTATGAGAAAACTTGCAAGGAAAATATCTAAAAAAAATTAATTTTATTGTAGAATCTAAATAGGATAATTCATCTCATTGGTGTAATAATATCTCACTAATTAATAATCACAAACTTCATCTTCATCCATCTTCAAATATTTCAGGCGATGGGGCTGGGTGTGGAATTAATAAGTACAGATTTCAACATCATCTTCACTACGTACTGATCTTTATAATTTCACCCAACTATTTCAGATTTCAGTTTTTCTCGGTGCTTAGACCTTCAACAGGGGTTGGCTTTATATAAGAAGCCTGAGGCCTGACACAAATTTATTATAAGCAAACTGTATTAATTGAATTCAATGAATATGCTTGCAGAGAATTTGTGGTTTCATATCTTGTTCTTTTATATTCTTTAAGAGCTCATACACTGCCCATTTGTTAAAATATACTTTGACGGGATTGCAGTGAGCTTGATTGGGGAGGTCTCATGAAATATGAATCTTATGTTTTGTCAATTCAAACATGTGGTTGCATTGCTTCTTATTATATAGTTGCTTCTTTGCTAATCAAATAATTTTTTCTTGGGACTCGTTATATTTAAACAAAATTAGACATGGCCTAATAACTCTAACCTTGAAGGTAAGACATATATACATGAAAATTATCACAAAGCTGGTACAAGGTTTTCTAACTCTTTTGCTGGCCATACAATCATTTTCGATTGATGATTTTCCAATTCATACTCCCGTATTGCTACGGGATTCATTCTCCATGCTGATAACCCTTCAATTGTAACCCTCAGACCATTTTTCCAGCTTCAATCCTTAATTTTTTTGGGCAGTCATAGTTCCACCACATCTTAGCTAAACTTGATGCAACGTGTGAGAAGACTTAACTCGATTCTTATGCAAGTGAAATTTCTCCTTCATATAATGTTTGAACTCTGGCAATTGTGCGGCAAAAAATTTCTCAATTACTAAATCGAAAATAATCAATAATTGATTAAAAGTTTTGGGCTCAAATATTTTTCTATTGCTCTCGTTCAAATTAATCACATTAGCACTATGTAAGCTAATTGATACTCATTAAAAAAATTTTACCCTTAGTATTTGTAAGAAAATTAGTCTCCCTGTTGATATAAGATCTCCCTATTGATGTAAGAAATTCCTACCATCCTCAAATTATATAAGTAAACAGAATCATTTTATAGAACTTTGTCACGAGAAAGACGTGTTTTTCCCTGGACACTTGTTGCTGTTAAGGCTGTCAAACTGTGATTTTAAGAAAACATTTGTTGCATCAGATTGTAAGAATTTATTTTTATTAATAAATAATTATTAAAAAATATTGAAAAATAAATTCAAATAAAACATAAAATATAAAAGTACATAATTATTAAAATTGTCAGTAAAAATAATTTTAAAATATTTTACTTTTTTACCGGAAATTAATTAAAGGGAAAATCCTAATTAAATCCTGCTGAAATACTTAAATTTAAATTAAGGCCTACCCTTTTAACAAATTCTTAATCAGGACATAAGACCTAATTAGGAATTACTGAATATTGTTAAATAACTATAATGCCCCTCTTGAGTTAAAAATAAAAATTGATTATTTTATCCCTCTAAAGTGGTTCATCATCTCTTATTATTAATATTTAAACAAAAAATATAAATAATTTTTTAGTGTTTGAAATTTTGTAATATAACTAAAATCTTCAAAATATTTTCATAAAACATTTCAAATTATAATATAAGTAATCTTTAAATAAATATTTTTTTCAGGTTGTAAATATTTATTAAAATATTTTAATTATAATAAAAATTTAATATTAGACCTAATTAGGAATTGCTGAATATTGTTAAATAACTATAATGCCCCTCTTGAGTTAAAAATGAAAATTGATTATTTTATCCCTCTAAAGTGGTTCATCATCTCTTATTATTAATATTTAGACAAAAAATATAAATAATTTTTTAGTGTTTGAAATTTTATAATATAACTAAAATCTTCAAAATATTTTCATAAAACATTTCAAATTACAATATAAGTAATCTTTAAATAAATATTTTTTTTCAGGTTGTAAATATTTATTAAAATATTTTAATTATAATAAAAATTTAATATTAGATCGTAATCATTTACGTTTTCAGTTGGATCCAACATTGTTTAAATAAATAAAAATAACGTAAATTATAAAAACTGAAAAAAAATATTTAAACTTTACTTATATTTATAATTTTACTTATATTTGTAATTTAATATGTTTTATTAAAATATTTTTAATAGTGTAAGTTATATATACAAATTTCAAACATTGTAGGATTACTTATATGTTTTTTGGTCTAAAAAAAATCATAAGAGATGAGGAATTACTTGAGAGAGGTATATTAATCTTTTTTTTTTTTAATTGAAGAAGGGCATTCAGGTTATTTAACAACATTTAGAAATCCCTAATTAGGTCTCATGGCCTAATTAGGAATTTACTAAAAGTGCAGGCCTAAATCTGAATTTAGGTATTTCGGCTGGATTTAATTGGGATTCTCCCTTAATTAAAATGCTTTACCGGAATAAAGGTTGAATTATCATTAAACTACGAATTATATTTATAACATAATTTTAATTTATTACTAATATTTTATGATTAATTAAAAATTATCTTGATATATTTGAATTTTAAAAATCACTGACTTATATAAAAAATAGCAACTAGCCCGTATTTTTTTTCATGGCAAATTGTGGGTATATTATAAAAGGACATCTTTCATCGAAATTAAAAAAAAAATAAAACTCATTAGTTTTGTTTGAAAGGAACAATATCCTATTTTATCCACATTAAATACATTATTAGTAAAAAAAATTTACCTACGTGACATTGAAAACATAATAAATAATTAATGTGATTGCATATAAAAAGATCACAAAAACTCTCCTCTGTGTACCTTATAGATAAAATCAGAGGAGAGATAAGATAAAATCAGAGGAGAGATAACTTAGCAGTTAGCAGCAAGGTATTAAAATCCAAACTGCATAACTAATTAAAGATAGTAGTTCAAGTGTCGGTGAATTAAAATGCGGTCAAATTGAGATCAGACTAATCATATTAAAATAATATAATATAATTAAAAATTTATATTTGTCTAGAACAAATTAATGTTTAAATAAAAAAGATCACAAGAGACTTGATAATGTCTATCACAAGAGACTTGATAATGTCTTATAAAACGAACACATAGACAACCTATATAGTTAGACGTGTGAAGTTGCGTTTTTTCCCCCTTTTATTTTCATAAAAGAAGCAAAACAACGTGTCTTAGTTTGTTTGGGCAAAGAAGTCATGACTCAAGTAACCATTTAACCTTGTAGTTCACGTAGGGTCACACCAGATAAATTGTCCTTAGTTCAGGACTTCGGGTACTTAAGACTTGACAAATAGTTGATTCACTAGATTCACTAGTTTTCAGTCCGAACCAATTGGTTCAGTCTGATTTTTCAACCCATGCTTAGCAAAGGCAAGTGCAATTAAATTTATCAAATGCCCCCCTAATTATAAGGACACAAATTCCACTACCATGCGTTATTCATTTTAGTTATCTACCGCCCAAAGTCAAAGGCACACACTTTGTTATTATTAATTATCATCAATATATATATATGAAATTAGAGTAATATAAATTCTGGATTGCGAGTTGTGACTACATGTATGTGCAACTATTAAGAGAAAACTTGCAAGGAAAATATCTAAGAAAAAATTAATTTTATTATAGAATCTAAATAGGATAATTCATCTCATTGGTGTAATAATATCGCACTAACTAATAATCACAAACTTCATCTTCATCAATCTACAAATATTTCAGGCAACGGGGCTGAGCGTGGGTGTGGGTGTTGGCGTCGGTGTTGGTGTGGAGGTGGAGGTGGGAGCCGGGGATGGGGCTCCATGTTCATGTTTCGGAGCCGGGGATGGTGCTCCATGTCCATGTTTGGGAGCTGGGGATGGGGTTTCATGTTCATGTTTGGGAGAAGGGGCTGGAGCTGAATGTTCGTGCGGGCCATGATGACCATGATGATGATGTCCTAGTGTCCCAGAAGACTGATCCTCGGACATAAATTCCTCAGACGTTGTCTCAATCTGAGTTTCTGATGATGATGATGGTGGTGGTCGTAGTGGTGGGTGAGTTCCATATCTTGGAGGTCCATGATAAGGACCTGAAGCAAAGGATCCAAAACCCTCATCTGTAGAGACTGAAGAAGATGAAGATGATGATCCCTCAGATTCTGCAGATTCTTCATATTTCAAATCTATGATTCTGGCTTCTGCATGATCAAAGCTTGATGAGCTAAGAGCAACAACCATAAGAAGAAGAAGCACAGATATCAGTTTCGTCAGCATCATCTTCACTGCGTACTGATCTTTAATTTCACCCGACTATTTCAGATTCTAGTGTTTCTGGTGTGCTTAGACCTTCAACATGGGTTGGCTTTATACAGGAAGCCTGAAACCTGAGGCAAATTTATTATGAGGAAACTGTGCTAATTGGATTCAATTAATACTCACTCCTCCGTATTAAATTGTATTCATTTTGTTTGTCAGTTTTTCACTTGATTCGACTTCAATCCTCACATGAAAACATATTGTCATTAATTTGATGTTATCTCCTCCATTTAATTTAGGTCTATACAATAAATGCTTGTGTGTGTGTGGAATTTATATGATCATATGCTTCTTCATTTTTGAAATAAATATATAGACAGCTTAATTAGTTTAGATTTTAATTGTTTTTCCAAGTTAATTAAGCTGTTATTATTAAAGATTGATAGTCGCAATATTATTATTCTTATTTTATATTGTAAACTTTCTAAAATTATAAAGAAAGCTAGACTTCTAAAAATAAAACAAAATGTTGGACTGTTGGCCATCTGATTTTAATTTTAGATGGTCCAACAAACTTGATATTAGAAGGAAAAATCTAAAAAAAAAATTTAAAATTTTAAAATCCCAAATCAGGAAAAACTGTAAAAAAAATATGTTGTTATTTGATTTTAAAATATTATCAATTGTTATTAAAATATAATAAACAAGACTGATTTGTAATTTTAAAATTAAAATTTTTTTTTTGGGGATTCTCCCGTATTGGAATTGGAATAAATGAGTAATATGAATTCTATATTAAATCATATTGATTATGTTTGCCCATTTATACTTAGTTTGACTTGAATTTTCACATTAAAACATAATGTGTCATTAATTTCATCAGACTTCCTTCCATTAAAACATACTCCCTCCGTTCTTTATTATAAGAGACATTTGATGCTTATGACATGTTCCTATATATAAGAGACACTTAAAAGTTGTCTCTACTTTTTTGTGTTGATTTTCTATTTTACTCATATTTATTATTTCCAACTCACACTCTTTCTCCCTCCCACTTCTCTTTCTTTTAATAATTTAATTGTTCTCTCTCATGCTCTCTCTCCTTATTAATGAGGGTATTTTTGAGAAAAACATTATACTTTTTACACATTAATTGTTCTTAACTAATTTTAACTATTTTTTTTATCAACGTACTTCTATTATTTGTCTCTTATAATAAGGAACGGAGGGAGTATGAATTAATTTTACTCTGAACAATAAATGGATGTGCATGTGCAGCTAATGTAATCGATTCTTCTTCAATTCATATTCGAAATGGAAGGCTTTAATTAAATTCAAATGATTTAGATTTTTAAACTTTTTTTATTTTTAAAGTTTTTACCTCTATTTTCATTTTGAAGTTAAATTATTATTATTTGAAAGAATGAATAACATATGGAGTATTACTATTTTATAATGTAACATTATTAACGTTTAAAAGTTAAAATTATAGCGGTGGCAAAAAAAAAATTAAAATTATAGAAAAAGTAAGGCATGTTCTTGTGTTTGGAAAAAAAAAAAAAGAGATAAAATATTGGGCATCTGATTTTAATATAGATGGTCAGACCTTGCTATCAGAATTGAAATAAATGAATAATGAATTCCATATCAAATTATATTGATTTTGTATGCCCTTTTATGTTCAGTTTGACTTCGATTTTCACCTTGATCTAGTCTGTCATTAATTTGATATATGGATAATTAATTTTTCTCTAAACTGTAGTAAATGGATGCATGCATATCTTCATTCTTGAAATAGGTTTCGATGGCTTAATTTCATTTGAATGGCTTCGATTTTAGCTTTTTCTCTTTATTTTTTTAAGTTGACTTATTATTATTTGTGACATGTAAGATTGATTTCTTGAACTTTTTTGAATTAATGAATTCTTGATTCCTTGAGTATTGTTCTTATTTTATATTACAATTTACAATCCTATCAAAATGGAAAATTAAAACGACAAACATAAAAGGTATTTATGGGGTAAGTAATGGCCTTTTTTTAATTTAACCTTGATTAAATACAATATAGAAAATAGATGAGAGAAAATAAACAACATTTTTGTTTTTCAAAGGATTAAAATTGATTGATTGAAAGTAATAAATGCATAAGAAATATTTTTTTCCCCAAATATGCATTTATTTATAAAGAGAGTAAGAGATAGAAAATGAGTGAGAAAAATGTGTGACAGAAATACGCATCTCTATGATCTTACACGTGTAGAAGGAAAGTTTGGTTCTAAATATAAGATATTTGTGAGGTAAATAATGACTTTTTTTTTGGTCAATTAATCCAGATTGAATAAATATACACATAGAAAATAGTTGAAAGAAAATATATAATATATTAGTTTTTTAAAAAGTTAATATAAATTTTAGTCTCCAAATTTTGCTTTTATTTTTTTTAGTCATATTTAATTTTTGACTTTTTCCTATCTAAAATATTAATTCATATAATTTAATAAAATTTTAGATAATTTTTTTAATGATTAAAACTTATGATTTGAAATTTGAAAAATTAAAATGAAAATTCATACAAAATAAACAACCAAAAATTGTGTTAACTCCTTTTTCAATCAAAGATACGTTGCTTATAATTTAGAGCGATTTTTCCAATTTGGTCTCGCATGTTGTTCTGATAGATCATAAGAATATACTTCTCCTAGTTAACTAAAAACATGCCGTCCTCCGTCGCACCGGTTTCGCTCTTAGCTTTGTGGACGTTCTCGCGGGACGTTTCATGAGGTTTTGGGTTCGAGACTTGGTATGATACTACCTCCGGTTCCTATTAATATAATTATCCCGGCTTATGAGGTGCTTCAAAGCACCTCTCTTTTGGGCCTCAACTAGCCCAAGCCCAAGCCCTTGAGGTTGGATCACAGAGAATCTCGTTTTTTTTTTTCTCTCTTTATTTTTTGGGAGAAATCACGGGGAATCCATGCCATGTGGGAAGCTGCTCATCATGTGGCTGCTGGTCAGATTCCCTTTAAGTTCCTCAATTGTTGATCTTCCAGAAATTATAGTTAAAACATTTTCCTTCTCTGCGGATTCTTTTCTGCAGATCTGTTATTTTTGTGAGAAAGAGAGTCCGAGAGAAGTGGTTATTTAGAGGGAGTCTATTTGGTCCACAGTGGAAGATATCCTTGCACAAGAGAGAGTGCAATAGAAAGCAGAACAGAACTAGATACCTCTCTAGCATGCTCTGTTTCTAATCAGCTATGTACTCTATATGCTTAATCATTATCTGAGTCTTCTTAGAATCATGCTCATTTCTGTAGCTTGCTTCATGAAGCCCAATTCAATGGAAGCAGGAAGCCCAGGTGAAGATAGCTCATCTGGCCCATTCAAGATCCAGACTTTTCCCGGCAATGTCCAAAACCCAGAGAGCATAAAAACAAAAGAAGGAAAAACAAGGGCCTGCAGCAGCATCTGATTCTGATCCATTTAGATTGTCAAAAGCTTCCGTGCGTGCTTTATCAGCTTGAGGGGATGCAAATGGGACAGTAAAATTCGCTCCAAAGATTCATCTTTGTAGAATCTCTCACATTTTTTCACAGTTGCACTTGTTATTAATAAGCCGGAACCATATTGAAGGGAAATTTGAGCACCTTCACAGGGTCAAGCCATATCAGAACCTAACCCAGAATATGAGAAAACCTGATATTAAAAAATTTGATCACCTTCACAGGTTTAAGCATCAGGTTTTCTATTGGATGCTTCTGATTTGGCCAAACTTATCGCCATTTCTTGAAGGCAGTCTCTTACATAATATTCTGTTCATAAAACAAGCCGCCTTATGAATAACATGAGACTCAAAACAGTAGTTTCAAAATGGACCAGTCACGTTCAAAAGCTTCCTTAAATAAATTTTTCCCCATTCGTTTGATTAATTCTCAGGGTAAAACCTTTTCTATTAATCTTTTCCTTGTACTATCCGCTTTTAAATAGCTTGACCAAATATATCGAAACAAATATCCATAACTGAACCTGTTTTACAGTCACCAGTGGTTGACGAAATAATATTCAAAGACACAAATTGTTCAGCCTCTTGACAGATCAAGTTCATTGTAGATTAAATTGCTTGATGATTCTGATCATTACTAGCTAGAAGAAGTCTGCATTGTGATCATATATCACATTATAAATTCGCTCCAAAGTCCTATCAGAAAATTTCCCAGGATTGCATATATATCAGCCATTAATACATCAGCAATAGTTAGTGACATCACAACAAAGAAAAGGGAAAAAGAAAAAGCTAAACAGGAGTGAAGTTAACAAAAGCGAGAGCTGCTTGAGAGCATGCAACATGTGTGAGTGTGTGTGTGTGTGTGTCTATAGAAACAAAATCATCATCTAATGATGTTCCGTCATCTTCCCCTAACCTAAATTACAACACCAGAAAGAATTCCTCGTTGTCTACAAAACTGATATATAACACAAAAGGACTCAGAAGACTACACGTGGTATAATATATATCAATCAAGCCAGGGCGCGATGAAGAACAGAGAAGTTGAAGCGACGATTGAACTTGTCCCACTGAAACCCAATCTCGTCTCCTTTCTTCAGATTCCTCCTCTTCACGAAATCATCATTCCACTTCCCAATCAGAACGAAGCTGCCAGTAGAAGCCCATTTTTTGAGGACCAGAGTGTGAAGTGACATGGTGTCCACGTCCCAGAACTTGATCTCAGCTCCATCTCCAGAATCAAGCTTGAAGCTTTCATCATCAGTTAGGACGGTGCACACCAGATTCTGAACCAAGACGGCGGCTAACAGCAGCCTGTTATGGTGGCGGAGGACGTCGGTGGCCGTGAGAACCTTCTTTATCTTCCATGGATCGTCGTAGATTCTCAGATCAGTGGAACAACCCCATGGAGTAGCACTATTCTGGTCAGGCTCAAAACACTGCACTCTCTTTCTTGAACAAGAAACCATGACGACGATACGATTGTTTGGCAGCAGATTTGAGAGAGGCTTATAGATAC